TCAAACATTTAATAATAGTGTTTTCCACAAAAACGCGCCTTTCCACATTTAGATTTCGCAGATGAGAGAAAGAAAAAAAAACTTTCGTTCAACTAGTCCCTCTCTTTCACGGTGCGCCGCCACATATCCGTTGAATGTATATGAGAGAGGAGTTCTATTTTTAGCATTCGATTCTATCGTTATATAAATAGGGGGATATGCTATCGCATCATATCGAAATGTTGTTTTCGTTGTTGTTGTTGTCGCGCACTCTTAGTTGCTCTGTTTCTGTTCGGCTCGCAAAATCGCCGATTTTCTCGATAAAAACACAGATAAATTCATAACTCGTCTTCAAAAATGTGTCTTTTTCTTATTCAATAGACATTTTTTCATTATAATAGGTAATAATTATTGCTCCTAATTCTCGAATGTGCCAAGTCGCTAATGATCACAGAAATGATTGTGCAGAAACTTGGTGGAAATATGGAAATCTTTTATTTTTCTGTAGAAAAAAAACGGAGATATTTCTTTTCTAGAATCCAGCAGCTCAATAAATCAAGCAGAAAACGAAAAAAAGAATTTCCGCTTTGAAATTCATACAAAATTTTGTTGATTTTTTTTTCTTTCTCATTCGAAACTGATCCAGAAATATCATTGACAATATTTATGCTGCTTTGTTGCTATTTTCAATTTATTCAAGATAAAGGAATTAAAAGCGATTAAGAACTTGTGCTGCTCGAAAATCGAAGCGAGCCAACGACAGAAGTGGTTATGCCAAAAGGGAATGCAATGACGTCAGCATTTCAGCATATTATGTACAGCACAACGGGACTCCTTCTGCAATGAAGCGCTCCTTTGATAACAAAAAGCGCGTTACTGGATTTTGGTACATAAGGACACACAATTTTATCCTTGATGCTGTCACATTCGCACTCATAGCATGGCACCGCTGAATCGCTGACGTAGTTGTACCGAGACATTGAATATATGAAAGCTTGAAATTGTTCAATGTACAAACCGACCCACCGACCAAACGAACATTCGAACAAAACATATTATGTGCATTGTAATGACTGCTGCTGCTGCTGTTGTTGCTGCTTTTTCGTCTCTCCCCCCATTGAGATTGAGTGATACACATTGGTATTTTCGGTGTGTAGAATGTGAGCCAGATATAGTAGTGTCGCGAATGTTTCTCTCATTTCTTGTCGGCAAACGAGGTAAATAGGTCAACTATTAAGCATGCACTGAACATTATCCAGTGTGTAATACAAATTGATTTACGCAATTCTTGAGCTATGTACTTTATTTATTATTGTCACGATCTCTCGCTCTTTCTCTCTGTGCTCTAGGCGAATGCATTTGCAACCAAACGAACGCAACGAGCAGAGCGAATAAAAATCGGCGACCCGAAAGTGCATCATGTTATTGCATGAAATACAAATTATGAATGATTTTATTCAATGAATTTGGTTGTTCAAGTCGTCAAATCAACATTGAAGGTCTCTCTAGCTCTCTCCTTGCATCTTTTTTTACAGCAAATGTGGTTGGTTCAAATGTCATATCACATGAATTTTATGCATGGAATTTAGCTGTCAACTTTATTTTCGAATTTAAAAAAAAAATGGTGAAATGAAAGTTTCATTTTGAATTCCTTTCGAGCTCGTTTTTAATTTCTTATTTTACTATCAGAATCGAAGTCGGTCATTTGAAAATTGGCAATCGTCATACGAACATAAACTTTGATTTTGAGACTATTTGCAACAAAGTGTGTACATTGTCGTTAGCACATCTGCCTGCGGAGATGAAGTCTTCATTATTCTGACACAAACGGAGCATATCCAACGATTGGTGACGTCGCCCAGTGTTGTCGTTGTCGTCGTCGTCGCCTTTATTACGAATTTATTTTGATATTTTGGTGAAAATATTCTTTTTATATATATTTCCCCAAATGAAATGTTGTAATGGACGTGGTTGTTATACACTGACAACATATAGGGAAGAACGAGAGAAAGAAGCAAATGATTTTCATTTCTCGCTTAGTCCTTCGATGCTGGTGTTGTTGTCATTTTTTTTTTTTTTTCTTCATTAAGTATGTGATCCACCCGCTTTCATTTTCCAAATTGTGTGATCTGATGTGATGATTAAGAAAAACAACGCCTTTACGACATGAATTCACCGTTAACCGTTCAACTGAGAAGAGAAAAAAGAAGCGAATCCGTGCATAAAAGCGGTTAAGCAGAAAATACGATATGTGTGCGCGCACCGATGAACATAAAGAATTTCGGTGATCGCTCGCGCGCATACGCCGATTGAGTTGCGCACGGGTGTGAAAAGGAGAAGCGAAAATGATTCTATTTCAGTGCAATCCATTTTTAGCGGTGCCTAGTAGTTACGTGAAAGATCAGCATTGCTCGATGTTTATATTGTTAGCATTTTTTCAAATTTTATTTTTTCTCAATGCGTATGCATATGTAGTGGCCACACATTTATGTTCCTTCTCTTTCTCAACATAATTCTCGCTCTCTGTCGCTTAGTGCCGAGATTCACGAAGAAACGATCGTCGGACGATCAGCATCAAGTTGCATTAGTCAGCCTTTAGCCGTCGGTTTGAACAGTCCGATTGTTAAATCAAGCATTTGTTTCATTTTTTTTCCTCTCGAGGTGAGTTCAGCACAGATTTTACTCTCTGTATACCCAAATTCGCTATTTTAAACCGAAAAACAAAGAAAAAACGGGAAAAAAAAATCCAAAGGAAGAATTTGACAGTAAAAGTGAAAGTGAAGTTATTTTTTTTTAAGTAAAAGTTTGAACGGCGATTATTTTTTCTTCATTTTGCATTTGATAGTTGAAAATCCAAGGACACCTGAATTTGAAAATAAAATCTTTTTTCCTCAAATTTCGTGATTTTCACGAAACTCTTTGCTGTGATCTTTTTTTTGGTTGCATAATCAAATGAATGAACATCAAAAGTAGAGTGTTGCTAGTTTTGATCAATTCGTCCAACTCTTGTGCCATTTTTTTTAATAAAAGAAAGAAAAACGATTCGATCCAAAGTGTCGACGTTTGCTTTGAACAAAAAAAAAATGAAATTCGCATAACTCAATATATGTGTGTTTATAAAAGTTTACTTCGAATAGAGAGATAAAGATTTTTTTTCTGTTCAATTTTAAATTTGTGCTATGAAGAGAATTTCTTGCGATTTTAAAAATACGTCGACTGAAAATATGCAGAGAGCGCGCACGGCGTTCAGCTCGTAAAGTGTCCATTACGTGTGTACGAACTATGTGTGTATGTGGGTAAATGTTCGGTGCGCGCACGTTCTAAAAATAAAATGCGAGATCGATCGAGCATCAAAAAAATTCAGAGAGATTTCAATTTCTAAAACCGCACCACGGCGCGATTGCCCAAAAAAAATCCGCGATGAATCACATTCATTTGTGCTGTTATTCGCTTTCGCTTCGGTGATTCTTCTCTTTTCGACGATGTCGGCCGTTTTATGAGCGATCTCTTAATGAGCCGACATATTGAAAATGTGCGAAAATCACCAAACGGCCAATTCGCTTCGTCTCTGATACAACATCAATGCGCTACAGCCACACACTCTTTGAACGAGTGAAATACAAATTCGTTTCTCAATTATTTTTTTCATGTATAAATAGATGTTGTTTATTTCATTCTTTGCACAAAATCTCCAACAAAACAAACGAAATATTTTCTACCTCGTTTATTTCCCCCCTTCGAGTTTACCTCAGTAGCAACCAAATGACGACAGTAAAAAAATAAGTCGTACTCAATGTGTAGGTGTGATCGACGAGAAAACCGTTGAAATGAGAGAGAAGAGAAAAAAAAACAAACAGGTTTCCATAAATATTGACTTATTTCAATCGAACAATTTCCACCTACCTCCTGTGCAAGGATTGAGTAATGCTTTTTAATAGCATCGAAAATGCGTAATTCGTCGTTAAAATTTATCTGTTGAAAGTCGGTTAAAGACAGAAAAAAATCGAATAAAAATTATGGGAAAAATTGATAAACTATGAGCAACCGTTCATAATGAGTTCAAGAAGAAGAAGAAAAAAATATTCAAGTACACGGTCTTCAGAGAGAAGGAAAAAAAAAATTGAAAAATCAGAACAATTTGTTTTTGTTATTGCGAAACATATGAGAATTCATAAAAATAGACGAGAGGAAAAGAAGATACATCTACTCTGCTGTTACAACCAACTAATCGACGAAGAAAACTTGATTTTAGCGACTGAGAAAGAAAATGTTTCTATTTTCAGTCTCATTGTTACTGCTCTGTCACTCCCACTTTCATTCCGTATCCATTCGTTTTGCTTTTCTACTTTTCATCTTCCTCTTCTTCGTTGTCGTCGTCGACATTTTCTTTTTCTCTCTCGTCGTCTAATGATGATCCTGTGACGGTAGACCGTTATTCATTTTTTATCACGACTTGAAAATTTGATCTAAATTTTCACCTACGTAAAAAAAGTGACATCATCATGCTTTTATGGTCGCACATAATGCCGAAAGACGGAAAGACCTCTTTCAAGCACATTTAAAATAAATAATCAGCTCGCCGTTTCGGAGAATTCCATTGCAGTTAGAAATTCTATATTTAGGTAGTCCTCATTCACTCGCACGCTCGCTTCTCTTTCACAAAACTGGTGGCGAACATAGAACAACTTTCGAACATTCAGATATTTTTAAAGTGTTGTGCCGATTTTTCTGTTCTTCGAAAAACGAAGAAGAGAAAATTATTGACACGAATTTTCCACACTACAAAAAAATATAAATTCATATCGATATTTTCGACAAAATTTTCACCATTTTTTCCTTCATTCTTTCAACAGTTTGTCCCAAGCACACTAATTCAACATGGCTGATGATGAGGTGAGGTATGTATCGTTACAGAAAAAATAAAACAAAGAAGAGCCCAAAATTATAAGCATTTCTCTTAAATCTGAAATCCGATTAGATATGCATTCAATTAATTTTTTTAATTTCTTTTCACAGTAATCCGTTCCGTTCTTGAATCAATTTTTCGACCAATCGTTGTTATGAGTGTTCAATGTTCATTGTGTATCGTCGTCGTCAAGCAACTATCGGCTCAAGGTGAGTTAAACATGTTTTTGTAATAAAACTTTAATGACTCATCTCGCTTTGACCACTAAATTTGAAGCTTTTTTCTACTCGCAACATAAGCTGCTTATTTTTCTTATAATTTCGATTTTTTACCTGAAATTTCTTCGCATTTCCATTCGATTCGAATGAAACCTTGGTAATGGAAGGTAGTAGATAATGTATGTTATGTGGGTGTATTAGTGAACAATTTTTAACAAAAACCACTTAACCAGATCAATGTAGACTGCAAATCAATTTATTTTTAGTTGATTTCAAACTTGTTTCTACCTAATCATCTCATTATCAACGAAACTAACATTTTATCCCAAAATTGTTTGAAAATATTTTCATTAATTGAATTGTCTGATTTTTTTTCGCAGAAAAAGAAAGCCGCCACACCAGCAGGTAAATTAATTTGCATCTCTTATCGAAACATTTTTCAATGAAATAAAACAAAAAATGAACAAAATACAGTAGATGAAATGAAATATTCATTTCAATACAAATTTTTCAATGACTTGACCTAAACACATAATTTCTAATCATTTCAGCCGGATCTAAGGCAGCCACTCCTGCCGCCGGTTCAAAGGCGGCCACTCCTGCCGCCGGTTCAAAGGCGGGTACGCCTGCCGCTGGATCTAAAGCGGGTACTCCCGCTGCCGGATCTAAAGCAGCGTCCCCTGCCAAATCGACGGCACCAGCCAAAAATGGAAAAGCCGCACCGGCTGCTGCAAATGGAGCCAAACCAGCTGACGCTGCACCAGCAGGTCCACCCGATCCGGTCGAGGAGGTTGTCACACACTCACTCGATCGAACGAACGAACACACTCAATGCAAAATTCAATTGGACTCTTTAGGAATACTCACGAGCACATACACACACACATCATAATACCATTGCTGGATTCATCGTTTTTTCCTAATCGCTTCATTTGTTTTTCTCGTTTTCGAATTTCTCTAGGCAAAGAAGGCCAAACAGGCCGAAATCGAGCGCAAACGTGCCGAAGTACGTAAGCGTATGGAGGAAGCTTCAAAGGCCAAAAAAGCAAAGAAAGGTTTCATGACACCGGAAAGAAAGAAGAAGCTCCGTGTAAGTACCTACGATAAAATCGTAAAAACAAAAATGGATCAAAGCAAAGAAAAGACACGCGACTAAATTGAGCCGATTTCATTTCAAATGCATCCGACAGTTGTTGCTCCGTAAGAAAGCCGCTGAAGAATTGAAGAAAGAACAAGAACGTAAAGCTGCTGAACGTAGACGCATCATTTTAGAACGTTGCGGTGAGCCAAAACCGGTTGAAGGTGCCAACCAAGGTATGTTCACGTGTTGTGGGTTTTTCCGTTTGCATCATCCCGTCGACTTTTATTTCTCAATTCCAAAACTCCTACATTCCTTTTGGTCATATACATTTTGAATACAAAGAGGAAAAATGATAAAGAAAAAAATTCGCCGAAAAAACATTCAACCAACAGTTTAATCGCGAAAGTTTAAGATTTCAGTAAAAGCATTAGAATGCTTTAATATTTAAGAAATAAGAGATTTTTGATACCGTTCAATTAATCGGATTATATCAAAGCGTGGTTTTTCTCAACAGTTTTTTTTTTCGTTTTTCATTACGAGTGAAAGAATTTTATTCCAAATTCAAATAATTCGTTTACATCAAATCGAAATTAAATTACATTTTGTAGGATTTAATGATAAGAATCGAAATTTTAACTACAGCTAATTAATCAAAGAGACAATCGAAACCGTTTTAACATTCACAAACATAAATAAATGAAATTCCATTGATCCACGCATATAGAACAACTCAAGTCGATTTTGAAAGCTTACCATGATCGGATTAGAGCTTTGGAAGACAAAAAATACGACGTCGAATACATTGTCAAACGGAAAGATGTTGAGGTACAGTCACCATTCACACAACAAACAAATACAGAACATAACTCTAAACTAAAACAAACAAACAAAATATTGCGAAAACGCCGCCGCTGCTGCCTATATTATTGTATAGTTTGTAATTTTCTTTTTTTTGTTTCGTTTTAATCATAATTTTTTTTTTAATTTTCAATGCTGCCAACAAAATTATAATCCGATTACATTGCATTTCAAGCCAACTAAATAGTTTTCAGTGCTCTCTACGACTCAAATCTATTTTCGGTTCAATTTTTCTGTTTTTTTTTCTTTCTCGTAATGCTACAATCAGAATGTAAACAACAACAGCTTTTTGTCGCTATTCAATCTAAAATGGTGTATTTTCATGTCGAAAACAATTTAAATTTAAGTTTGGGAAAAACGATTAAGATTCTCATAATGATGTCTCGAGCCAAGTGGTTTGTTTTCGATGATGATCCGGTAAAATCATCCGGATAGCTTGAGCTAATTTTGCCAGGCATTTATAGTGTCGTCCAGAAAAACAGTGAAATCCTTCTTTAAGTTCTGTAACAAAGCTCTAGTTGTTGCTTCTAAAATTGAATTAAACTCAAACTATGATGATTGATTTGCATTTTAGTTAGCTTACGAAGCCTATGCAGTGAATATCATAGCCGAATATGTGAATTGGAAGACGCGAAATTTGATTTGGAATATTCGGTAGCGAAAAAGGATCTTGAGGCAAGAATTTTGTTGACGTCTGTTGTAAATCTCTTTCGTTTAATTGGTGTGTCGATGTTCAGTAGATATGATGGAAATGTTCATCTGATTTATTGCAATAGCAATATTATGATCAGCTATTCGAGAATATCAGCTATTGGAGCGGCATATGGCCCGCGCACGCAATGTGTTTTTTTAAGATGTTATCTTCTGTTGAAATTAGTAAGCATCGGTTGATTTGTAGATTGATATTTGATCATTGCATTTATATTTGATTCTCAATAGTTCACTCGTAAAATTGTGTAAATTTACTTGAACTGACCGTTTTCACTCATAGCGCTACTGTCATGTATCATGAAACATGGCATGGATATATATAGCATACATGACCACATAAACATTTTCGTACACTCACCCAGTTAGTAATTTTTTTTTTTTGTTACAATTTGAAAAAATCATCACCAACAGAAAAAAAAAACAATTACTTTTCTCTCATTTTCCCATTTGAACAATTGATGCGTGCGTTCGCAACAACCAACAACAAACAAAAAATTATCGTGTGAATAAACCAATTTCCAAATTGTATTGTGAATATTTAGCCGAACTGCAAACGGTTTGTCATGAATATTGGAAACGGATATGTGGTTTGGAAGGTGATAAATATGATTTAGAGCGAAGCAGCGCATTAAAAAAGATGGAGGTAAAACGGTTAAACGCAACAATCAAACTAAAAACCAACCAAACAAACAAACAAAAAAATACGCAAAACCAATAGAAACAAATCTATTCCAACAAAAATGACCTTTGATTGGAGTGAATGATTGATTAGTTCTTTTTTATATAGTTTTCATAATTTTTTCTTTTGTGGAATTAGAGCGAAACAAAATCTAAAAGCCACACACAAATACACACTCTACAACACAATCTCTTCCTCACTCCCATTTTTTATTTATTTCGTTTTTTTTTTCTTTGGTTTTTCCGTTGATTTTTTCATTTAACGTAGAAAAGAGAAAGGATAAACAGAAGAATGAGAGAATATACGCACAAATGACGTTTTTTTTATATTTTGATGTCCAATCGATGTGTGATTTTTTTGCTGTTCAAAATTAATCGTTTTTTCATTCATTTTTTTTTAATTCTTTCGTTAAACAATTTTATTTTGATTCTCTCATTCATAATCACAAAAGATTTCGATCGAAACATTTTATTTAAATCGTCGAAGGCAAACAAATGACAAAATTCATATGTTATATGTATCGACTTGGTGTGGATACTAAAGTAAAATCCTATATCCAGAAATATGTCCAAAAAAAAATCGAACTGTGTGATCAATTTAAAAATTGAATTTGAAAAGAAAAAAATCAAAAAAACAAACGATTTTCGTCTTTCCAGAGGAATTGGCGGAAATCTGTCAAGAATACTACGACCGAATGTATGTATGTGAGGGCCAAAAATGGGATCTAGAACACGAAGTGCGCAAAAGAGACTGGGAGGTACTGCAAAAAAAAAAACAAACAATTCAATTCAAACAAACAAAAGTTTCCAAAAACAAATATACACACACAAATCTGTCCCGTTTTTAATATCTGTATTTTGTTCGATATGTTCAAAATTTTCATACACAAAAATAAAATACATACTCAAGCACACCACCATTCACCTGATAAATATATGTAGACAAACAAACCAATTACAACAAAAAAAAAACACCAAACTGGAAATTCTCTCGTGCTACTTTGAATTTGTGTTCGTTTCCACCGTTTCATTTACTTGTGTTCGTGTTTTTTCTTTTCTTTTCATTTGATTTTTTTTCTCTTCATTTCTTTACTGGTTTTTGATTAGTTTATTTGAATTCTATACTATTTTTATTACTATATTTAGCAAATATCAACGAGAAACAGTTAGCGTTTTCCTCGTGATTTTGAATTTGTGTTCGTGTTTTCCATTTTGTATTCAGTCACCCATCTATTCATATGTATACTATGTAAAAACACCAAATAATCTTATTGATTGTCCCATCATGGTGATGATATACAGAAATATTCATTGCAAACAGAGGATGAACTGTGTTATTTTGGGAATAAGAGCCCTCACAAGGCAAATCAAACCATGTCAGTGTGTTCCATGTGATACATACAACCACGCATACACATTCGTCATACCAAATGACATTCACATGTATAGAACCATATATCTCTATCTCTCTATCACTTACACAAACACACAATCTATCAATTTCACTGTCTATCAAACTCATCAATTGGTTTTGGCCTCTCCATTTCATAGTTTGAGAGAAAATAAAAATCGTCTCAGTTCTTATTGTTTTCTCTCAAAATTTGAAAATTCATGTGGGCTTGCTGTAAATAAAGCGAAACTAAATTGTACAGAAAGAAGAAAAAAAAAACAATTCGATATATAAGTTAAAAAAATGTTAGAGATATTGACTGGATGTGGCTTGTGTACATAATTGTTCACTTCTAATTGTTCCGTAAGAAGTTTAACCGACCTCCCTCCTCCGTTCCCCCCACCATATCGATGATCAAGAATAAGTAATGCGTATACATGTTTCAGTAACTGCCACGTGTGTTTTGTCAGTAGCTAAATATTTTACCGGGGTAGAAAGAGAAACAGGAGACAGGACAGAGTGTGAGACGTGATCAAATATCTCGAAGTAAAAAGATGATCATCAAAATGGCAGAGACTTTCGGTCAAACAACCGATAAAACTGTTGACGCAACATTTTCGTTTGATTTAAGAAACTAGAAGTGAATTTGCATGCTAAATCATATATATTTTTCGATGAGCTACATGCATGGCTACATTTCGTTTTTATAATGCGAAACAAAAACAAGATCGAAATTCGACTGAAAAATAAATTCAAAATGATGCTAAATTTTATGGCGAATTAATCAATTTTTTTTTTCTACTAAAACCAATTTTTAAGAAAACAAAAAGGAATAAAACAAAAATAATAAGCAAAGAAATTAAATGCGCGCATCCTTTACAGTATGGCACATCACCGCTGACCAATTCCATTTGTTTAATACATTTCGTTTCGGTGTGCATTGTTTCTATTGTCTATTGTTAGTCTCTCTATTGCAAATCTAATTCAAAACAATTCTTGTTTGAACAAAAAAAAATCGAGAATTTTTCTTGGTAACCTGTCTAATACTCTCGCTTCAATTAGCCTAAGTAAATTTTTTTCTTTCTATGTATCAAATAATCAACATTCGACTATTCAAATGCCGGAACAGAAAAACACTGACACACAAAACGAACATTTTTTTTTTATTGTAATTTTTCATCCGATTATCATTTCGGTTTAGTGCAGATTCCCACCAAAACGAATCAAAATTCCTATTAGAGAGGTTCATTTTTCCACACGAAATTTATTCGTCACATACATACACATTATTACACCTCATACTGAAAACACCCACAATTTCACTGTCGATCAATATGATACAAGCGGATCGAAAGCGGCTAATCAGATTAGCGGTGAAAAGAGATACATATTCTAGTCACATTTAGTAGTTGTTTTTTTTCTTTGTCAAACTAAATTTTCTGTTACGAGAAACGAAACACAAACCAAAGTGCCATACTGTGCAGTACCTTCGTAATAACACTTTCTGGTTTTCTCCATATGTAACTTATATTTGTCAAATGAAACGAACAACAACAAAATATTCAGTGAAATAGATCCCATTACACACGATTAAAACACAACGAAAACGTATGTCCTCCTCCACACAAGCAATTTTTGTTGAACAATTTCCAGTCGATTCATTTAATGTTTTGTTTTGTTTCTCACACACACACAAAGACTATCTAAGGATGATTCGACGCCCCATTCTGTTTATAATTGCAAACACACAGAATCTGGAATTTGAAAAGAGAAAAAAAAAAACAAAATAAAACATCAAATTTGCGCCATCGAATATATTATGCCAATTATTTTTCAATTGAATTTCCATGCTCAAAAAAACATTTCAAGATCTGTCGATAGAAATTTTCATGCAATTTCATTTATTTGTTCCGTTTTATGTTACATTTTTTTTTTGGTACACCTCCACTTCCTCTCGTTGAATTGTTATTTTTTCCCCTTTTAAGTTGGCGATTAGTTGAAATGTAAACACTGAAAATGATCAGCTCGAGATAAGATGGGTTATATTTCGAATTTGTGTGACCATACCTATTTTATTTGCTTATTATTATTTGTTTTTATTCTTGATTTTTGTTCTCGCTTCACGTTTTATTGCACAATGCACTATGCACATGGTACTAATCAAATACGTTTGCTTGATACTGCGAAAGACGCTTTTAAAATCAGCTTTCTAGACAACTGATTTCGAATTTCTAATCAAATGTTCTGTCTTTAATTTACAACACATATAAACACAATAATCGTTTTTGAAATGAAATAAAATCGACCCATTCCCCTCAACCGAGTCGTGTAAAACTTTCCGTAATGATTGGGAAAAGAAAAGCGTGTGGTTCGGTTATATTTCATTTTAAATCGACATAGAAACACTAGCAGCCACATTTTAACTGAAAACTAATCGATCGATATGAATATCTTTGGAACAGATCAACGACCTTAACGCCCAAGTCAATGACCTCCGTGGTAAATTGTAAGTATTCGTAAAAGCTTTGATTTTAACGAACAAACATGGACTAAATTCTAACCGAATTCTTCACATTTCTTCGAAAAATCTAGTGTTAAACCAACTCTCAAGAAGGTTTCCAAATACGAGAACAAATTCGCCAAATTGCAAAAGAAGGCTGCCGAATTCAACTTCCGTAACCAACTTAAGGTGGTCAAGAAGAAGGAGTTCACCTTGGAAGAAGAAGAAAAAGAGGTTCGTATCGCATTTCCACTAAAACACTTGATCACAATTTTTACCGAAGAAATGCATCCATATTCATGGCTTTCTAAAATGAATTTACTTAATTAAATCCATATGCTTAACTTTGAAATCGATTTGCATTTGACCAATCATTGCGATAAATATGAAACACAAATTTCAAAATGGACACACGCACAAAACGTTACGAAAAAAACAAACACAGAAACCAAAAATCGTAATGGAAAAGAAGGATTCGATCAAAGAAGAGCCGAAAGTGGAAGAACCACCGAAGGAAGAGGAAAAGAAAGAAGAAAAGAAAGATGAAAAGAAAGATGAAAAGAAGAAATCTCACCACAGCAGTCATGGTAAAAAAGAAAAGACTCCAACCAAAGATAAAAAGAAGTGTAAGCGATCTAAAGCGTGTCTCAATTTATACGTGTTTCGTTCAATCGATATATGTGTGTGTCCACATCAAAACAAACGATAGAAAAAGTGACAAAATATTCATACACGCACACACACACACACAGACAGACAGACACACCGTCAATATATGACAAAATCACTCAAATCGCAATTCAACCACACAATAATTTATTCATGTGTTTCATTTTATAACATGGTTGTTCGCTTTATTTAATCTCATTTAGTCAATTTCATCTGTCGTTAATCGCATAATTTGGCATTGAAAACTGCATCATTTCATGACTGAAATTAATTCATTTGGTTTTCTTTATTGCAGAAAAAACCGGACTGGTCCAAGGGCAAGCCAGGTGATGCAAAGGTAAAGGAAGAAGCTGAGGGCGTTGAAGCATAAACCAAGAAAAAATGAAACCGAAATGTATAATTAACACCATCAATCCAACAATTTCAATAAAAAAAATCTAATTGAAAAAAAAAAACAAAAACCAAAATCACCCGAATATATTTACAAATTTGTATGTAATCTCAACAAATCCTTGTGGCTTTTATTTTCTTTATGTATAAACTTGTACATTGTACAACACACATATGAATGGGCAAGCGGAATAATGAAACGTAATTCTGTTTTTAAATGAAGTGCCTCTGAGAAAAATTTTCAGTAAAAAAGCCCCACAAAAATATTGTCTGAATAAGATTTTCATACAAATTTTTATCAGACAATATTTTTGTGGGGCTTTTTTACTGAAAAATTTTCTCAGAGGCACTTCATTTGAAAACAGAATTACGTTTCATTATTCCGCTTGCCCATTCATATATATGTTTCAATGGCTCCCTTACATTCATATCCACACATACATCACACATGAATTGAAAACGTGCTAAACCAAACCGAAAAAAAAAAAAAAATTGAGTACAGACCAAACACAGAACTCTTTTTTGTCTATATCCGAATTTGATTATTTATTAATGAATTTATGTAAATATTTATGGAAAATAATTTTATTTTAAAATAAATTTCTATGGAGAAACACATTTTTTATGTCATGTACGGGGAAACGAAAACAAAAAAGAATTCAATGTTGATTTTCAATTCAAATGGTCAATAATTCACATTTGAAATCGCTCATTTGCTCTCGGTCACCCGATGAATTATTCAGTTACGTTCCCGCAATTAGTGATGTGTTGGCAATAGATCGATAGAGCTCTCAATTTATAATATGTTTATTCCACTTTTACCGTCGCCCTCTCTTTGCTGCCCGCTCTGTTTCCACTTCGAAAACAAAATGCTGTGCAGAGCCTCGTTTTCACTCGTATGTTTTCACACACACACACACACACGCACACAAAATGGCATTGATTTCTAATTCTTGGCTACCGTACAACCTCCCCCTCCCCCACACACAGAAGAAAAAAAAACTATATCATATGGATATTATGTGGAAACCATATCAATGACTGCTTAAATGCTGTGCTAATTCACATGGTAAACTTCTTCTTGTTGTTGTTATTGGCTTTTTTCTGTATCTCTTTCGATTCCTTCTTCGTAATCGTATGCGCTGAATATATTTGGTCACCGTTCGTTGTTTTTTTTTCCTTCGTTGAGTGTTGCTCGTCGTCGATTTCTGTTAACTAGATGTATGTTTGAAAAGGCAGGTAGGTAGTAATGGTAAACCAGAGATGGAATCTATCAACCATTCTGGCTTCTGTCTGATGAACCATAAACAATATTACATGCCTTTCTCTCTATTTTCTAGGATTGCGATTGTTGTTATTATGAAGAAGGACTTGACAGTAATTGATATGAATGTTGGTTGTCGCAACAGAACATTTCTCAGTGTCTCTTTTACTCCCGGTATTGCTTTGGCGCTTTAAATAGACGCTCAACATTTCTGAGAAATTTTCTGCTGCGTTACCAATTTTATATAATTTTATAAATATATCAACAAATTACAGTCATTCTACAGCTCTACTCTCTTTTTTTCCCGCTCCCACACTCTTCTTTTTTTTTGCTTGCAGTTTAATGGGACATTTTCCATTCCAACGAACAGTCGACCTCTCCACAAAAAACCGCTCACCAAATCACATATTTATTATAAACTTCTCTGTCTCTCTCTTTCTCTCGCTCTGTCTCTCAATCGTCTTTTTTCGTTTGTTACATTTCTCCAGTTACGTTTAAATGAAACAATTTTTATTGATTTTTTTCTTCTCGAATAAAATATGGTTAAAAAAATTTTGCTGTCAAAAAAAAAACAAGCAACTTGAAAACGAAAAAAAAACAATGATTTAACATTAATTTGTATTCAATTTTCATTTGTATTTGTTTGTGCATGAGATGCTGAAAATAAAATTCATTATTATCTATTTATAGAACAATGAAGCTTTTTATTTCAAAAGTTATGACCGAACAGACAAAAAGTAGATGCTCCACTGAATTTTTGACCCTTGTAGTAAACTTTTTTTTTGTTCATTCAAAAGCACTGGAAAGCTCATCGAAAAGGTATTTCCCAAGGCCTATACATTTGAAAGCTACACCGTCAGCCAGGATACGAACGAAAGCTTTGGATTGAGGGATGCGCGCAAACTCCGGCATTCAACACCTGTGATCATTGCTAATTGCTATAAGAACAACATGTTTGTTGGATATGCCCCTCAGTCTAGCAGAGATAAGCGAATGTGAAGGACGTGTTCTAAACGTGTAGTGTAAGAATTTCTGTTTTTTGTGTGTGTGTGTGTAAAACCAACAGTTAGTTGTGCTTTCTCACGCTCTATAGATTCTGTTCCTTATTTCGGTTTGTTTCCTTGTTCTCCGTTTTAATCGATTTTAATTTAATGGCATTTTACATTTGTTATGCAAACTCGTTGATGTGCTTTTATTGTGTGTGAGATTTGGTATTTCGTAGTGTGAATGATTCAGGAGGAAGGCTGCTTCTGCAACATATTCCAATCGATGGATCACAAGAGAAGAAAGAAAATGAGCGACAAGAAGACACATCTGCGTTTTGAATTAATAATCGCGTTGACGCTGATGTGTTGCTTGTTTAGACTGCCATCCAGCCATGAATGTACAGTACCATTTTCAATTCCAGCTGGAAGTGAATATTGCTGTTGTTAGGGCCGATATTTTGTTGTTGTTTTTTTTTCTTCTCGGTTGTTGTTGCAATAAATTGTTTATGCGGTGCTTCAACAATGAGTAATAAAATGTATGATGGGCCGAATGTAATCGAGTATTTTACAGAATTGAATATTGCAGCAGAACACACGGCCAAAATAAACATTGTAACGAAATTCGAAAAGTTTTCAACAAAAGTTTCGGTTGGTTCCGCTGAAATCGGCGCAAAAATTTCATGTTTGCCACTGTATACAAGTACAAACAAACTGAAACACACTCGCACATAGTCATCGTGCACTGTTTTGTGTTTATCATTCGGAAGATTTTCGCATTCGTATTCACATTGAAATGTAGCCACGCTGCATTGGCAACAACAACACAACAGAATAGCAAATAATAACTCGTATAAATCGGAAAATTATAGAATTGCTATTCGCATCGCTATGGGCGTAACAGCAGCACCCACAAAATGAAACCGACACGGAATAGGAAGCGCAAAAAACGACTCTCTCTCTCTCCCTCTCTCTCTCTCTCTCTCTCTCTCTCTCTCACGCACAACAAAACAAAATGTTAATATATTTTAAAACGGAATGAGTTCTGTTCAGCGCCCTGAATCTAAAAACGAAAAATGTGGTGGTTATATGTTGCCTGAATGGGATCCTGTCGTTTTATTCTAGCATTTATATGCATTTTTTTTGTCGTTCACACAGAAACGTTATTCCATTCGCCGAGGCGAAATGATTTTTTTCTTCCAACAGCAAACAAAAGAACGAAGAGAGAGATGGAAAGAAGGTGATAGGCCTAATTTTGTTACAAATATCATATAATTTTATCGGTACGGTGCGTAGCCCGTATGTAAAATATGCGCTCATTTCTGTGCGTAGAACGTATGGACGTGATGGATGGTAAAGTCCTCGAGCGTGAAATTTCCATAAAACCGATGACGATAACGACAATTATAATGATTATAATAATGATGGATTGAAGTCAAAAACCGCATTTTGATCCATTCACATCCAGCTAAATTTATGCTGGCAGTGCATTTTGCCATCCTATGCATACTCTCTGTGTCTCATTCGTATGTTCGTTGTTTCCCTGTTCGTTCATAAACTCGAACGCTTCCGTAAATAGAGTCGTTCCATGGCAGAGGCTTCTTCAGCCTATACTCTGTGAGTGTTCACTGGAAAAAAAATATATCAACAAACACTGCTCCGACTCGACTTTTCCCTCTTTAAGTTCGCTTCTTTTTTTTCTCTGTTCATCGTTCGATGCCGAACGCAAAAGCTGTGTTACCTAACCGACGAACGATTATCATGTCAATACTGGAAGAGATAGCGACGTTAACTGTCGACATAACGATGAGCAGCCGGAAAATAAAAGCACGTTTCAGTTCAATGGCTGAGAGATGCTTTGTGCACAATCTATTGCGCAAACCGAATTTTGAATGAGCAACTCATAATAAGGCAATAAGGTATTTCAATTCACCGCTCAGCATTCACATTTGATATGATTTTGAACGGCTTCCCTCTCGTTCGCACTCATAATAATTACTTTTAACGATATACAAAGCAACATCGATGCCATTCGTATATGTTTTGCATTCTCTTTTTCTCTAACGATAAGTTAAGCTTTTCTACTTGCCGGGGTCGGGACTCAATATATATATATATTTCTGAGCGAACGAGAGAGAGAGAGAGAAGGAGAAAAATCGCTTATTGTTAGTAAAACCCAACGGATAGAGTATTAGTACCTATGTAGCAAATCGATTCAGTAAATAGGTTTCTTGCGACCTTTGCATTGAAAATTGAGAGCACGTTTTAATGCGTTGGAATCCTTAACCACATCAATCGAGCGTATTGACAAACGCGAATCGAATACCACTCACGTCGTTTCAAATTTTTTTCTTCTTCCTCTACTGCTTCCACTTCTTTGTGTGTGTGGTTGTTATTTTCACATTTTTTCTATTACTTCGCCTCGCTCACCACATCATCAAAATCATTCCCATTGATATTGGGCGGCGAGTGCGCGGGCAGCAACACACAAGTTGTGTATAGTGCAAATAAAAATGGATATTGACATAAAATCTGAAATCGAAACACTTTATCAATCGGTACTTTCGTGTCATACGAACGATAGAAAAAATGTGAAGGAAAAAAAAAACAGCGTACACCAATGATATAAATCAAATGTAAACATAAACGCAAGTTAGCGCTTGTTGCTTCTTGTTGTTTTCTGCGGGCGCAGCAACACATTCACCATTAACTTTGCATTCGGATGGCAAAAATCCGAAATGGAGGACACGCATTCCATTTGTCAGAAAGACGCGCGCTGTGTCGTTTTAGGTAAAATTGAAAACTGTCATTAGCTAAAGTGCTCCCTTGTACACTTGGCAGAGGAGAGCGTAGGAAAAAAAGAAGAAGAGAATATCCATAAATTTATCAAATGAATCAAGTGGAACATAGCTCGTTAACGCCTCTGCACGTCGGAGCACGAACACATCACCTCGATGATAATAAATCGACTTTTCTTCAAAATCGAAAAAACGGAAAAGTGCGTTCACAACGTAATAAGAGCCGATGTGAACAGCGACAAATTAAATTGTGATGTGTTTATGATGTGATTGTTTTAATATAGCTGTGTACAAGCTCACAATTGCCATAGTAATCGCATGGAAAATTAAAAGAGGGAGAGAGGGAGAGAGGAGAGAGGGAGAGAATTGCACAGTCCTTTGGTTTCATTTCATCTAAAATTGAGTACATGAACACATTCTTTCTTCTAATTATTTTGAGTCGAGTTGAAGCACTTGACACAGCCTACCAGCACCGATTTGAGACGTGATTATCTATGCCCATTGGTTGAGATTGATACTTTACGGGAAAAATAAAAACCACAAGACACGAAGGAGCACACAAAAAATGGCAAGAAAAATATGAAACTGAAAAGCATGAAGTGCACGAGGCAACGAGAAGACAGAGAGATAGAGAGAAAAAGGTGCCGTGGCAACGAGTAATGGCAACATTGGGATTACACCTCCGCAAAAATGGTGACTTCTTCGGTGGCATTGTCTCAGCTCCTGTTTTGCACTTACACATACACTTTTTGTTGTGACTACTAGTCAAGAGTATGGAGACACGCAAAACGACTTGCTGCGTATCTGTGTGTGTCTTTCTTCTTTTCTTGCTTTCCATCAAAACTCAACTTAGGCTCTTCTTTTTCAGAAAAAAAACCAATTCTCTTGGTAACATATTTGCAGAGGTGCTTGCAACCGGGACAGCAAAGTAGAAATATAAACAAGTGCGCACATTGCAAATCATTTCACACGTGTATTCTCTTTCGTTCGATGGCCGAACGGTTCAATGATTTTTGTTTTCGTCGTCGCTTCCAAATCCATAGGAAATGTTTGAGTATTTTTTCCGCTTTATGTCGAAATCATCATGCAATCAAAATATGAAATCAAATTTCCTATTTTTGGTGAAAACATCATCATGAAAATAAATCGTCGACGAATGTTTAAATCAGAAACAAAAAGAGAATCCCTCAGTGATTTGCAAAAGATAAACAAACAAAAAACACAGAAAGAGAGAAAGAGAGAAAGAGAGACAGAGAAAGTGGAACCGAAAATGAAATGAAAAACTTTGTACCTAACAAAATTATGCAGATAGAATAAATGCGATCGAATATGTGACGCAGTTTCAGCAACCACAGCACGACCAACCGACCAGTGAATGATAGAAAGTTTTCGTTTGGGGAAAAACTTGAAAGAGAAACCAAATAAAGTGAAATGATTTGTTTCGTTTTTGGTTTTACTTCTTCTTCTTTCGAACGTTCGGTGTTGCTACTCATGTCGGTGTGCCGATTCTGTACAGGTAAAATGCGAAAATTCACAGCACTTAATGCCAAAGGCGGATTCAAGTCGACGGTAAACACCGAAGTAAAGGCAACACAGCAGCTGTAGCCACGGACTGCAAGCTGAGCTGAAGCGGGTAATTGAGTGGATGGAAAAAACTTTGCTGTGTTTGCAAACGCGTTAATTTTCTCGTTCCGAGAATTTCGATTGGCCGTTAGCTGGACTTAAGTCAAAACTGGGAAATGTAACTAAATTGAAAATCGATTTAGCTCGCCAATCGTTTCAGTCTTTTCTTCGCTCACTTTCGACTGGAAAAATGTGCACAACTTCGTTTTCGTCTCGTTGGCACTTCACCTACACATTGAGTGACCATTTTAAAATCAGAATCTAATGAAAACGGAAACGTATCGTATTATCAACATACTATACACACCGTCGTTCACACTTCGGTTCATTCGTTCAACCACGACGCATAAAACACAACTAAAAATGGCTGAATAGAAGTTTTGTGCTAAATCAATTCTCAGACATTGATACCGGAATGAATTTCAATGGAAGGCATTGCCTTCCGAATTGACGCAAAATGTTGTTTTACAATTTGTATTCAATAAGAACGTGTTTTTGTGTCATGTGGTGCTGCTGTTCAATGACCATTTGTTTTGCTCCAGCATATTCAACAAGGTGCCCGTAAATTCTCTCGTTCTCTTCATTTCCATTGTAAATTTTTCGACTTGAATGGAAACAAAATATGCGCTCCTCTCGCGGCTGGCTTCCGATTAATATAAATCGAACAATGAACCTTGGCATTGCAATCGAACAAGCGAACAAACGACCGAGCTGTTTAAAGTCAGCGTTGGAGGTGGAGAAAAAGATAATCGAATGTATTAACGAGAACGTAATGAGCGGGGATGATGAATTAACATAATATGAACGAGCACATAATGCAAATAATCGGAAGCCAATTATTGCTGTTGGTAAATACGATCTGGTAATGCAAACAATTAAATTCAATGACGAAAACATGCTGATTATTGTTGTACGACCAATTGGTGGTGCTCGCTTCGTTTGTTCGCCAGCCATTCATTTTTTGCAAGGACCATTTGTTA